GTTGACGTGGTATGTTTCCTCTAACTTTATACATTTCCTTATTTTGATGGGTTTATTGTTAGTTATGGCACATTTTATTAGATGTTCAACGTTAACTCCGCTAAATTTTGTGTCCAAGTGATTCTCACCGACTATGCTTCATTTGTTCATCAGAATCATATTCCTTACATGGTTATTCAGTTAAGTTAATAATTACTGAACCTTTTTTAGATGCTCTAAAATTTAGTCAAGAGATACGAATTTTGTTTTGGAAGTATCCGTTCCAAAGTCAGAAAATAACCTGTATATGTTTGGAAAATCATCATTTAGGCTGGTGTAGCAAACTATTCCCAGATATTTAAAAAGTTTTAATATTTTTTGAATCAAAAAATGGTTTTAAAGATTACAGGTTAAAGCCGTAATAGAACATTGATCTTCAAACTTTGAAGTTTCATTAGCTTTAAGGTTGTTTTTACGGGTTAGAGTTATTAATCTCACACACAACTTTCCCTCTTTCCCAGACTTACTACTGCTGGCTAGTAAAGCAAGAGTGTGTCAGCCGGGAATTGAACACCAGAGCCTTGATTATGGATGGTAAATCGTAATTGAAAACCTGATACGGTCTTACTGTTCTGTATTAAACAAACAAAACTTAACACGGTAATTGCGTAAAAGATGGAGTGTCTATTGGTATTAGTGTAGATAGTAGCTTTTGTTTTTTGTCTGTTTTTTTGACTAATTATTGAAGATTTGTGAACAGGGTAGGAGGGGGTGGGTTGAAGAGACCAGAATCTAGAAGTGGACCTTTAGCTGATTTATAAAAGACTTGGAAGAATTGCAGCAAGAGTAATTTTCTAAAGCTACTACAACAGTTGTTTGTTATACTTGCTATACTTTACATAATGTCTTTCTCAGCTTTATTGCTTTCTGTAGTATAATATGCATACCTTTCAATTTTACTTTAAAAGCATCCTTTAATAATTAAGCGCAATATATCGGAAGCATGTGCCGTCATTTTTCAATACAGCTTAAAAGAAATAGAAAAAGGCAATAACACTGTCGATGTAAGTGCTCTCATTTGTATACAAGTATGGATTTTTTTCACTTATTTGTGTTCTCTGAGCTGGTTGATTTAATTGTGTGTGAAAACACACACAAACAACCAATCACGTCCAAGGTCACCAGGAGAGATGATTAATAAACTCGTGGAGAAATCTAAAAGCTCACTTCAAATTGAAGTATGCGCTGAAGATGTCACCCAGTAAGGTGATGAAAGCTTCGCAAACTAACCATCCAGCTCAGAGAACAAAACCACATCAAAAAAAATTGTAAAGCTTTCATTGTCCTTCTAGACAACACCTTCAATGCAAGCTTTTATATGAAGTGAACTTGTTAGAATTTTCCATAGTTGTATCTCGTGATAACCATTATCGTGATCGGTTGTTAATTTACATTTATATTGGTCGGTCATATTTATTGACTTAGAATTCGAACTTTCTTGTCAAGTGATTTATTTTTCATTAGTTGTTAAACTTAATCTACGGTAATGTGTTTATTAATCTTTGATTCATACTTAGTGCTACTTTGGTTTTATTATCCAGTGTTTGTACCGCGTTTTCCGTCAACTGTTGAGTCAATCATCTGCTTTCATTATGTAGTCTTCTGTGTCCATGATTTGTTTTGCTCTTCCTTTTTCAGCTGTGATAGGATAACTATGACTTTCTATTCTTTAGTTCCTTCAATGCATTCTGCTTTTTGGTGTTATTATTATTATTATTATTATTATTATTAGGTATTATGTTTTTCCTACTTAATGTTGGGTATGGTACATTGACGTATTTCTTGTTGTACTTCCTCATATAATTTTGATGATTTCAGTGATGGTTCTACGGAGGTGCACAAGTCTGTTTTTGAATCGTCACCAGTATTGTAGTTCAGTCCTTTCTGAAGAAGTTGTTCTTCTATTTTTGATAGTGGTCCGATCAGTTTACTACGCAGTCACTCAGTGTTTCTTCAGATGGTTGTTTAGAAAGCGTAGCTAGTTTTTCTTTGAGGGCAACTCGCCTTCGTTCTTTGTGTCGTTCGTCTAATATTTTGATGGCTTTTTCTATGTTAGTTGGTATTCTAGGTTGAGAGTTCGTTCAGCCTTTTCTTTTTGGGATTTAATCATTTGTTGATATTTTCTAGTCTGATTGTGAACTTTGGTAATCATTACCTCTATCACTTGTTTTTCGTATTGTTTGGCTAATTTCTCCTCCGGAGGGCAGTTAATTGGTGGTTTTTATTTGACACTGTTTGGTAGAATATATTGGCGGAGTCATTCTTAAAGAAAAATTATTGTTCTTTTGTGGACATAAGCCTTTTGCCAAAGTCCTCTCATTTTTGACAAGATAGAAGCGAATTTCGGTCGTAAGGTGTGAAATAATAGGGAAGATTTGTAGCCCAGGAGGAGGATTTTGATTTGGTTTTTTGCTCAGAGAGGCCCGCACTGAAGGTGCTATCTAGAAGGACAATGAAAGCTTCGCAATTGAATCAACCAGCTCAAGGGGCACAGCCAAATTTGAGTCATCCACCTGATCTGAGAATCTTGTCTGGTAAGAGTTTGGTTTATAGTGCTGCCCTACTTTTAATGATGATTTGTTTATGAGTTGAGGTGAGGTCCTGTCACCTTATTCTAACGAGAAGTTTCGGCATTCTAAGTAGCAACTGATGAGCTGAAGTAACTGATAGAAACAGTGTATTAATGCTGCGGAATCGCAGGGCTGGGAGAACGACTACGTGAGTCCGGTCAGATGGACCGTTTGGAGTAGTTTCTAGGACTGTGTCAGTACGCTGATGTTACCCTTATCTGCTACTTTTGCACCCGTGTTCACTATCAGTAGGATTTCATCCTTGGATTCCCAACACAGTCGAAATGACCTACATTGTGATGCCAACTGTTTTTTGTCTGACCGCTGTCTAATCGACCGTTGTGCGATGGTAATGCCTGCAGAAGCATTTGTTCCAGCTAGTATAGCTGGGTTGGGTTACTATGTAGTGTTGACCATCATGTCGATCGCAACAGCTATCAGTCAGGTCTAAGCGATAAAGATATACGCAAGGAATTTCAGATTTGCAATAACTGCTTATCATAAAATCGTTTCAAAATTCAGCATAAACCTATTTACTTTGAGTATAACTCATACTGTTAGGGGCAATAATGACAGTGTACAGCTAGCTATGAGCTTCTTCACCTTTTTGTGCAGTTCCCCTGATGTTTAGCTTGATATTTTAGCATTCGCTTACTAAAACTGAACATGACGTAACTTTTTTTCACTGTATCTGACCATGACTGGTTATATCTTACGATACATTATAATCAATGCGAAACAGACCGAAATTAACTAAGGTCATGTGAATTCTCAGAGTGTAGTATTCAGAATTTAACATTCTTGTGTAAACTTCCTGTATACGATTTGTATATACAAATAATGCGCCAATTGATGTTTCTTGTACAATATTACTTGTAGTTGACATTGAACCATTAATACTACAATTCTTTTTGATCGCTTCAAATCTGTCGGAAAGCCATTAGTGTAGAGCTCCATTGCAGTTTTTCAGTTTACAACCTCAGTCAGTGGTTGAAATAATATTTTCTCACAATAAATTGTAAATTGCTAGCATTCAGCAATGTGTATGAAGGAGGATTCAATGGAAATAAATTTCAATTTGAATTTGATGCTGGTGTCTTAGACGAAGGTTTTGTCAAGTAAAATTCAAGCACCGTGATGTACAGAAACAAGTGCTGTTGATTTTCAGAGTTCTTAGATCTTTCCTGTGCGCCAGTGGCAAAGCGGTTAGGATGCTCATTGACCATGCGCACATAGTCTAGGGTTCGATCCCCGGGCGACGCACTCCTTTACCCTGCTAAGCCAGAAATAAAGCTGGCAAAGAGGAAAGGTTGGTCATGAGACTAGCGACTCCATCCTGTAAAAAATAAACACTGCTACGGAAACTTCAAGTCTCTAGCTTGAAGCCGTGTGTTCCACTGGGAACGTGAAGAAATAAAAAAAGATTTCTCTGATTGTTATTGTTTTGCTTCGACTTTTTTTCGATTTTGAGAGTTTACAAATGCCTATCGGAGAAATTCAGTATAGCTGATTAGTCTGTGTTCTATTTTCAACAACTTTTCCTGTTTTCAAGACGGTAGATAATTGTGACAATTCTAGTGACATCGCCTCTACTGGCTGCTTAATTTCTTATGCCTCAAATGAAACAGTGAAGAATATGTGGTTACAATGCGTAGATGCTGGTGAAGATCTACTCGACTTCTTGTTAGCTTACAGGGCTATTGTGAAACGGGTAGGACCTATTTCCTTTATGGTGGTAATTTTATTCATAATCATCACATTTTTTTGGTTAACACATATTTTACATGTTATCCGGTGTTCACCGCCTCTACAGTGTTATTGGATACAGTTTGGACTGTCAGTCAGAATCAGCGTGTTATGGAAAATATCATTCATGGTTATTTTATCTAGCCTTATAACTAGGGTAGTGAAGTGATAGCCTACTTTCACTTGTACTAAATTCTTTTCCCATTCAGTCTGTATGATTTTGTTTCCAACCTTTGTGTGTTGGTGCTTCTGTGAATTTTATTCATGAAATAAATCAGCAACTGTAATGAATTATCTGACTTAAGTCACTGGCTGGGTACCGATATTATTTCAGCGTGATCAGATTAGTTGTTTGTTTCAGTGCTGTCCTGTTAATTTTCAGCAATCTTAGGTCTTCATTTTTTCTATATAAATTTAACTAATACATATTTGTTAGTTAATTAGGTATTGGAGCTTTTGCTAACGTGTTCTATAGCACGAGTCACACTAATCGGTTAGATCTCACAATAATGTTTAGCTATCAAATTTGAAGTACGCAGGGTTACTCTTTGCAAAATTGTGAATTGTTAAGTCACAGTGTAACGCACATTAGAAGTTCACTATCACGTCTCCACTTGTATGCTCCATGTGAATTAGGGTGTTCACCTGCTATCTTTTATGGTGACATTAGTTGGTCAGTTGATTCAAATCAAGTAACAAACTCTGTGTTATTCAATATTCTACTGTGTTATATTTAATATTACTTCTAGTTGTCTTCTTTATCTGCCCGTGTAGTTTTGGTATATGACTGATTTTTGTGAAAGCTTAAGACTGCAACAACCAGATTGACAGACATGCCTTGCTATTCGTAAAACAGGATTATTATTCAGACTGTGCATATTTCTCTATATGTTATTTGTATTAGTGTAATTGTATGCTTTTTGACTTTCGATAATAGGAAGTTTTGTGTTGTATTATTTTGTTTCTAATATTTAGGATTACAATTGCGACATACGTTTCTTATGGGATGATAAAGCCAAACCAAACATATCAATTGATGCACTTCTGATAGAAGTATACTTCAGTTGGTTGGCAGTTTACTTCACCACACATTGTATGCAGTGTGAAAATGCTAGTGAGACTGCATCTACTTTTGAAAGACTATTCAATAAGTATTTAGCTCCGATTTCACTGATTTTGACTTCACTCACGTAGGTTATAAATTGTTTATGTGTGTCATTACTAGTTATCTAACCTGTATTTTGAATTCTACGGAAAAGTTATGAAAAAAAAATATATATATATATATGCGAAATGCTGCTCAATACATCTATACAAACTGCTGCGGAGACTCAGGGATTTAGTGTCAGTATCCTCTAGTTAGCTCTTTCCTTTCAAATTGAGATAGTTTATTGTCCCATGCACGTGTATACTCTGTGTTAAAACTTGAATAAGACGGGAATGACATTGCGCGATATACAATCACAACTTCCCCTCCACTCTACACAAACGGATAAGACTGAATTGTCGGTATGGTTTTAAAGTAAAGATGGTTTGAAAACTAATAAATTTTCTAGTCGGTAGGTGAGCTAGTTCGGAGCATGAAATTGACATACTACACTGTAAAAATTGAAGTGGTGATATAAACATAAAGTTAGGGAAGTATTTCTGAAATAATATTAAAAAAGAGTGATATATAAGGATGAATACAGTAAATTGGAGAAGATTCACTTCAGGTAAAATCAACAGTTTTGAATTACAGTTCAGACGAATAATGCATATGGGTAGTTGACGACTGCAACCCTCGTTACCATGGTGAGCGTAGGCGTAAAATGCTTGTAATCATTATTTAACTTACTCAAGTTATTATTGTAAGAACAATCATTGGTGCAAAATAACATGGATGCATTTTATTCTGCCTGTTCTCATCAGCCGTGTACAACCTGTAACACTTGATAAAACAATTATAATAAAGTTTTAATATACTTTCTTCATCTATAGGAATGAGTCCTCCATTTAGGGCTGTTGTACGAACGTCATAGTAAAACAGGACATAAGAATGATAAGATGTCTTAAAGTATTACAGTATATATATATATATATATATATATATATATATATATGCATCAAGGGAGCGAAGTGTCTTGCAAAAGAAATTGAATAAATCAATTTGCTGTTAGAGTGGCAGGGATATAACTGCGTAGCCAGAGATTATAAAATGTAGTGTTTAGAGCTCTGATAAAACTAAAGAATCTGAATTTGGTGTGTAGGAAGTGGAATACAAAGATGATAATAATGTATTACAATGAGTAGAATTCAAAAGACCAAAAATTACGTCTGAAATAAAATGTGATTGGGAAAAAAACAAATTCTTACAACAATCCTTACTAGAGAACCGATTTCTGACGAGAAACACGAAGTAGAAATTTTATTCTAAGTGACTTTATTAAATGTTACAATTTGTACACAGCTGACAAGAACCGATAAAATAGAATGGACCCGTGTTATTCTGCATGAATGTTTGTTCTTTCTCTGTTCATATTTATAAAGCGGAATTCATGTATAGAGTTACTGTGGAAAGTTGGGAAGTACTCTACCGATGGTGGTGGTTCGTCAGCTCATGTAAAACAGTGGTTCTAGTGGTTTTATAACTTCATTAGCTCTTATACACTCAGCAAATGTGGCCAAAAATCCAGTAAATAGATATAAACCGCTTTGTTTTTTTTGGTTTAAGCTGTACATATGAACTTGACAGTCGTTTAGTCCAGGACTATCTACGGGTTGTACTGCTAATTCAGCGAACTGATATTTTTGTTCATTCAATAATTTAACAATTCCTATTGTAACATTAAGAACAGAATATTCAGCGAAGAGACTCTTCAGCGAACTTATTATCAAGTTGTGCAACGTATATGCATATACGGGAGAAGGCAATTCATAAGTGAGACTATTTCTGAGAAAAATGGATCCTTAATTAGCTCTCAGGATAGACGCCTTGAACGCTGGAAAGAACACTTTGAGGAACAATTTAACTTGCCTACAGCCACACTGAACCTCCCCGCCATCCACCACCTACCCGAATGGGATATAGACACTGGTCCGCCGTCTGTAGGTGAGGTTACGAAAGCTATCAGTAATTTGAAACGAGGCAAAGCGGCAGGACCCGACGGAATCATTCCGGAGGTGTTTAAATATGTGGGTGACATACTAGTTTGTAGATTAACTGAGGTACTAGGCAAAGTCTGGGAATCAGAGACAGTACCATCAGACTGGGGTAAGTCACTTATTATACCGATATTCAAGAAGGGAAACAAGTCCTCGTGTGATAATCATAGGGGGATCAGCCTAACGAACATAGTCTCTAAAATCCTAGGCTCAGTAATCATGCATAGACTAAGCAGAACTCGGGAGGAACAGACAAGGGAAAATCAAGGAGGCTTTAGACCAGGTAGAGGGTGCATAGATCATATCTTCACTCTTCGACAGATTCTAGAACATAGACACACTTTTCGGCGTCCAACAATTGTCATATTTCTTGACTTGAAGGCGGCCTTCGACTCCGTAGACCGAAAGGTACTATGGCAATGTCTGACTGTGAAGGGAGTGCCATGAAAGTACGTTGCACTAATCAAGACACTCTATTCAAACTCACGTAGTCGTGTAAGGGCTTATGGGGAATTGTCGTCTGAATTGGTAACAACCAGTGGTGTCCGACAGGGATGTCCACTTTCCCCATTTCTGTTTAACTTCATCATAGATATGCTAATGGAAGTATCCTTAACTGAACGTAATGACTTAGGAATCGACTTGTTACCAGGGAAAAGTCTTATGGACTTGGAATATGCAGATGACGTAGTCCTGTTTGGGGGGGGGATGCTGACAAAATGCAGAGTCTTCTGAACACCTTGAGCAGCAATCTTCGTATGTTTGGCATGCGATTCGCCCCTACAAAATGTAAGATGCTGCTACAGGACTGGACTACGTCAACTCCTAGCTTAGTGATAGGGAGTGAAGTGATAGAACATGTTGACCACTTCACCTACTTGGGAAGTTGTATTAGCACCAACGGACTGATTGGCGATGAAATCTCAGCACGGATCCGAAAAGCTCGAGCTGCTTTCGCTGACTTACACCATCTCTGGCGTAGGCGTGACATCCGGTTATCAACCAAGGGACGTGTGTACTGCTCATCAGTTCGCTCCGTCCTTCTCTATGGCTCTGAAACATGGCCAATACGCGTTGAAGACATGAAAAGGTTGACTGCTTTCGATCATAGATGTCTGCGATCTCTGTCTCACGTTAGGTGGTTTCACAAGATAAGTAATGTTGACGTTAGGCGTAGAGTGTTGGGCAAAGAGGTAAAATCAATCGACGAGGTTATAAAGTTACATAGACTAAGATGGCTAGGTCACGTGGTGCGCATGCCTAACCACCGCCTCCCCCGACGGGCATTGTTAGCTGATATAGGTTCAGGTTGGAAAAGAACCAGTGGTGGCCAAACAAAAACATGGCATCAATCCATGAAATCCTTGACAGTTAAACTGAGTCAGGTAGGGAGATGCAGACTCCCGGGTTGGGGCCCTCGGGACTCTAGGAATCAATGGCTGGAGACAATAGGTGACATGGCTCAAAATCGTTGTCAATGGCGCAGATGTATTCAATATCTGTAATCTTTCATATTCCTTTCTACCATTACCCATTCTGTTTCACTCTTATATCTGTCAAACTCTATAAATTCTCTTCACTCATCTTCTTGTCTACCTCTGTGCTATTTGGAAGGTGGCAACTCGAACTGCTGCACTTCGGTGCCAAGTTCTATGTTGAATCCAGACAGACAGACAGATATGCATATATATAGTTTTGAAAAAAATTATATCGAACGAGTAAATTGAAACAAATGAGTGAATACGTCAAATAATAAAAGTATGAAATTCAATTAAAATGTTTGAAATTATAATTATAGGTAAATATCAAGTGTCAAGTAGCCAAACAGGCGATGTCTTATGTAGAGTAGTCCATAGGATGTATAAATGTCGGGAAGGGGTATATTAGTAGGCAAATATAAAACGTTTCATAACATGGCGTGAAATTTGATAAAATATAATTCATAACTGCAAAAGAATATTTTGGATTTAGAGTGAAAAGTGAAATAATACCGGAAACAGTTCAAAATGAGGATGGTAATAGTAAAAATAATAGTGGTAATCGTAGTAATAAGTGTTTATCCTTCTACAGCCAAGGCAGAAATAGGGCTCGAACATACTTCTTTTGTACACAAATGTCTGACTTAATTTCATGAACGACGAAGGCCTGTTCTGTCTTTAGAAGTTCAGAAAAAAGCAAACGGCAAGTTAGCGTGAATTTGATAGGTGACCTTAAAATCATGGTCAGGGTTGGCAGATTGGCAGATGTGGACCAAAAGCTCTAGAACGCAGCTTCGTGCATCATTTCTAGTATACGTTTGGAAAGCGTTATCTGCTCACGGCTAACGTACTTTGCTCCACAAGAGCAAGTGAACTGATGGATACACATAAAGGCGGTCAGATGAGGGGGCTCATCTTTCTCAGAGACGGAGAACAACTTACGCCTGGTGAAGGTCATTTGTAGTTTTGCAGCAAACAACGTCTTACTGACTGATTTAGGTAGACGAATTTCGAGGATATCTGAAGGCTGATCGATCACCTTTGAATTCCAAATTCATGAATATGGTTTTTCATAACTGAATCAGTGATCAGTTTGGGCTGCTTATTTTTCGTGTTTTTGCCAATAAGTCGGGTGTGGCATTTGGGGAGGGGAGTTCTGAGTCAACGCAATCAGAACTACAAATGTTTCTTATCCTTTTTTATTTATTCACATTTCACTTGAGTGAGTTGTCTTCAAATATTGTTTATCACCACTATCATGTATACTATTAAATCTATATGGAAACTAGATTACATTATTGGAAATTGGAGATTTCACTGACTGACATGCATGTAAACCTACATTAAAGATTTGTTCATCTGTTTCTTTGGTATTTTGCAGTGTGTCTATTTACTTCAGTGAATTTTTATTTGAGGTTATTTGTTAGCTGCCACTGTTCATAAGGAGGAACAGTATCCCACCACTGTCTGAAGTATTTGCCTAGTGAATACTGACTTTGTATTCTGGTTCATCTTATTTTGTTCTATTCTGCACACTTCATTTTCGCTTTATTATCTTTTTCAACGCATCATCATCTATGCGTAGTCTCGTTTTGGTTGGTATTTTTCTCAGGACACATCACTTTAAGAAATATTCCATGTTATCTGATCCCAAAAATCATTCTTCTGACGATCTTAAGTGGATTCAATCAGTGGCAAACATTTGTAGTGTAATAAATCAATTATATACAATAACTTCAAATCCTAAGTTTTTCACTGGTTGGTTTCCATGGGATTCTGTTGACAAGCCATTTTGTGGTGAAATGGTTTGTAATTGGTTGAAGAAAATTTGGAATGTTGATTTTCTAAGTACTCAGATATGCTCATCAAGTCCAGTTATAGAAGTGCTTACAAACATTCTGGAACTGATTAATAGTTGCATATTGGATTCACAGATAGTCAAGTCGACGGAAAATATTAAACAGCGTGATTTATTCACGTGGCTGGCAGAACCCGGCGAATTATTTCACTTATTCACTGGTAGTTGGATATCTTTTTACGATGTTGTTGGTAAGTCGCACTCTTTTGTCTGTTTTTTAATTCTGTCTAAATATTTAATAGTTTTTGTCTTTTATAAAAATAATATATCTTAGGGGCAGCCATATATAGCATTCGGTGCATTTCTTAGGTGAAAACGCTATTTTGTCAGGATAGGAGATAATACTTTTCTGAAGACTGTAAATTCTTATTCCAGAGAATGCGGAACTGTGGCTCATGGTTTTCGGCTCTTGACTTCCGAACAAAGTGCTATGGGCTCGAGCGCCACTCCCTCTACCGAGATTTGGGCAACCAGGTAGTATTATCAGCAAACATCACCAACTCCATAGAAATATGCAAATATTTGTTGAGTAATATTAAAATTCCATGTCGGTACTTTAGATCACAATCACTGTTCTTCTCAGGAATACTTCTATCGACTTTTGTGAGGATTTTGAAAAGTATTTCGGGAGTAACTCAGTTTATTTATTTATTTCGTAAGAGTTGTTCGAATTAAAGCAAGTGATATTTTCAGATAATTGGAGATAATAACTTGAAATTTCTTTCAGTTACATGCTATTTTGAAGGCTTTGCTTAATAAAATGCTTGTCATCAAGTGTTGTTAAGAAAAAGTTAGAAAAGAAGTTTTAGTAGTAGTGTGGATTGTTTTGTTCGAGCTTTAGGTAAGATGTTTCTTTATTCTCCTATCGTAAGTTGTAAAGACATTTTCTCTTTTGATTTCAGTGAATCAACCAAGCTTATGCATAGAATATATTTGTACAGTTGTCAAACTGTGGATAATTTATCAAAAATGGTCCAAAGAATTTAGTCCAGTTCTAAATGACACAGTCAAGAAGTCATTATTCAATATTCCAGGTTGGTTTTTTAATAATAGTGTTTTTTTTGTCTAGTCATTGTAACTTAATACATTTACTAAGGAATGTATAGAGTTGCAACGATTTTCGTCACTTACAGACATAGTATAGGGGTACTTTCGCGTAGTTATAGTTGCATTTCAGGCAAGTGGAGGGAGGATAAGAAAGAAAAAGGAATGAGAATGGTGTAACTTATAGTCGTAGAAAGCACGGAAATGAAGTATGCAAAAGGTGCAAAACGCGTACGAGACGTAATATTACAATTAAGATGGTCAGTGAAGTACCAAGGGATATGCGCTACAGGGGCAATTCTAAGCTGTCTAAGGTTACAGGTTAATCTTTTAAATTTAACAAGGTTCTAGCTTTAACAGTAAGTCTTGAGTGAAGCTGTCGCCCATATTTTGAACATATCCTGCAAAATAATTTTTCAACTATAGGAAAGGTTAATAGACGGTTTTAGAAAAGAAAAGCTTTCCCTTTCGACAAACTGATTTACATTCGTCAACATCTAAAAGAAGAGTAAAACGTTCTAGAATTAATATTTGTTAGGAATCAAGTTACGTTAAGTGACTGAATGGTGCCACATCATGCGGGAAATGAAAGTAAATATCACTGATCAGTAATGACTTTATCCGTAGAGACGATTGAAAACTTTCTGGTGTTATTTTTAATTTCCGACCGGTAGTCCTTCGGTTATGCATCTTGGTTTCACTTCTACTGATTTCGTCCGAAAATTATGAATGAGGTTTCTCAGGAGATCTCCAAACGAGCTGCTTGCTGTAAGTTCACCTAGTCATACGTTACTGAGCTGGGAATAGATGGGCAGACGTTATAGTACAGCGATTGTTGTGTGTGGCTGTATGTGAGCAAGTAATTCTTACAACGTTATATTCTTCTGTTTACAACACTAATGATAATTATCACCATTCAAGTTTATACATATTGTAGTTGTAGGTTACATTTTTTCAGATGAAGACACAATGGTGATCTGTTTGTCGTATGTTTCTGTACTCATCTTGAGCGTTCACCGATCCATTTCCATCAGCTCTATTTTAATCATTGTTTGCGACTGACTGAAGTGTAACCTTCATTATAATAGAGGTTTTTGTATTTCCCAATGAATGAACAAAAAAACAAAACGGTATTGTTTTTACTGACGTTTCGCTATTAATGCTAATAGCTTTATCAAAGTATTATTATTAAACTGGAATTTACAAAATCTCAGCATATATATAACAAAGAGTTAAGAGGTGAGAAAATAGACTTAGGTCAAGTTAAAGGGACATATTGAAAGTCAAAATAGCAATGAAGATCACTAAACCGAATAACAAAGCTAATAGTACGTCTGTTATCATATCAGCTGTTATGTACCACTATGTAAACACACACTGCTTTTATAATTTTACACACTGACCAAATTCAACAATCTACACTTAAATTAAAAGACTTGAAAGACTTTTAATTCATAATATGGGGATATTTCACACTATCAAAGCTACACTTGATTTTGTTATCTTTACCAATTGACCGACTTGACAACGAAAAATGACCCCAGACAGACGAATGATGATCAAGTTAGTAAACTTTATTTTGATATCAGAACAGACGTACTATTACCTTTGTTATTTGGTTTAGTGATCTTCATTGCTATTTTGACTTTCAATATGTCCCTTTAACTTGACCTAAGTCTATTTTCTCACCTCTTAACTCTTTGTTATATATATGCTGAGATTTTGTAAATTCCAGTTTAATAATAATACTTTGATAAAGCTATTAGCATTAAATAGCGAAACGTCAGTAAAAACAATACCGTTTTGTTTTTTTGTTCATTCATTGGGAAATACAAAGACCTTTATTTTATTGAATATCATATATCCAATGCCCAAATTTTTTCAAACTGTTAGAAGTGAACTTGGTTCGGACATATATAAATGAAGTGTAACCTTCGTCCAAATTTAAAAATAATAAGCGTCGATTTGTAATTCGTACTAATATATATATATATATATATATACAAAATAGTGTATGCCTTGATTAAGTTACCAGAAAAATCTTTTGCGTGATAAGTTCGAACTTCAGTTCATATATCTGTTAGTTTACTTATTGTGTTTCGGTTTTCGCACTTCTAGGCAATATTTGTCTTTATCGTCAAGTTTATGTACCATTAATTGCCATTTTATCTGATGGCAGTGATAGAGAATAACTCTTATTAGATCTAGTCATATCTTTTTTCGTAGAACAGGGTCATTTTTCGTTGAGAAGGGTGGAGAATATACTTTGGTTTTTGGTGATGTTTATTTAGAATTGTTTAATTGCCTTTCAGATGACCTATTCATTGGTAAAATTCTATATCTATCGAGTTCTGCTTTGTCAAACTCTTCAGTCTTCTATCATCTTCGTCATCTTTCACAAGGTAATTTATGAAAGAAAAAGAACTCTTAAACCTCTCACTTGATGTTTTCACTGATTTATGTTTATTGACATGTTAATTATGTGAACTGGTACACCTTTCCCAGTCGAACAACACCAGTTCTGTGATACTGTATTAGAAATTAAGTTTAAAAAAATGAAAATGAGGTAATGTTTTATATGTTCAAACAGTGTGGGCTTATTCAAAATAAAATGGACAAGTGAGTCTTCTGAATTATGCAAAATTTCAATGAAATGTATTATATATATATATATATATATATATATATATATATAAACTTTGGCGCTATGGTAGTATGTTACCCCCATATTATTTGGTTTATTAGATATGTCACCACAGTGAAACCGTTTTATTTATTGGATGACGTATCTAACACAATATGTCGTTCACAATCATATTAGTTATAACCACACAACTTGAAAATTTGAGTTTCATAGTTTTCTTTATTCCTTCCCATTCGTCGTAGGGATAGTGAGATTTCAGGTATGTCTGGGATAGGTGTTGATTCATTCCCTATCACAGCTGATTCGATAAATTAAGCTTCCATTATAAATCTCCTTCCACCTTGTTATAGTAGATGTTAAGACTGTCATCCTATCCCATCATATTTTTTAGTTGTGTGTAAATGCATGTAGTAGTATAGCTGAGCTATTTTCTTGATTTCTTATCTTATTATGTGTGCGATAGGAATGATTCAACACCTGTCTTGGACGTACAGAAAATTTCACTACCCCTTCGACGAATGGGAAGGAATAAAGAAAACTACGAAACTCAAATTTCTAATTTGTGTAGTTATAACTAGTAGTATGATTGTGTTCGAAATGTCATCCAGTAAATAAAACGATTTCACTGTGTGATATATTCAATAAACAAATTAATATGGAAATGAATTATTTCACTGGACGGGAGTTTTCTTTATTGCATGCATTAACATGTGAGTAGATAAATAAGTAATATCTCTACTTTCTTTATTTTTTAGTCAACTCTGTAACAATTTTCATTAAAAATAAGTAAAAAAAAACACCGATATCGCGATTGTTTGGCATTAGTTAACTCTGTTGACATATTTTTAAAATTGTTAGGGTGTGCAATTTCTCTTTGACGTTGACTGGTTTTGCTCAAACACCATTTGAGTAAATTCTTCAAAAAAATCGGTAGATAACCGTCGATGCACATGTATCTTCAACTGAACAGTGTTCACCGTCTTGCATATTTACACCGAAAAGTCTAAGAGTCAGGGGTCTCTGTCCAATGGAGAACCAACAAGTAATCTGGGATACTAAACCTTCTCATTATAACGCAGTGAATGACCGACTGCCTCACCACGATACGATTTTGTATGATACCCTTAACATGTTCTCTAGTACAGGGATATTGTATGGCAGGAGACATATCTTGTCTTTTTTCACTCCACGATGTCTGATAAGTAAATATTCTGAGAATTTACTGTGACATCAACAATACTGATACCTCCGCCCTCAAAGCTCGGCGCTTTTTAGTACCAACACTGATCATCTCACAGTCCAAAACAAGGGAATCTAAGTAGGTTAAATTGCCTGTTTCAGATTGATTATTCAAAAATTTAATGATATTTTCGAAATGAATACATGGGATATTTCTTAATCATCAGTTCCGAGGTTGAAATTATATATTCACTGTCAAATAAGGTGTCAATATAGTGTTCATCCCGAAAAAATCACTGCACTTTTGAGTAATTCTATTTCTCTTAGTTATTTCATTTAGTCTCAGTTGACATTTCCCCATTTTTTCAAATTAATTTGAATGTTCAACATGAATTCATTTCATACATTTATTCCCCTTTATGAATTTGAATAAAGGAAGAACAACAGTTTTTGCAGAATAACACGGTACCATTATTTATTTCGTTGGCTTCTCATCAGCTGCTTACAGGCCAGTCATTAATAAGTATATCTATAGAAACCGTTTTAACATACCAATTGTACATGATGTCAGTTGACTGGAGGTTCTGGACTTAGCGAAGAGTACTCAGAAAGTCACCCTTATATACTTTTTGCACAGGGTGTTCAAGTTTAAACGAAGTGAATGTGTGCATAGAACGGCAAAGGAGTTACGTAGTAAAGATGAGAAATCTTTAAGATGATGAGTGACTAATAAACTGGATTACAATGCACTGAGTTCAGCTCAAATCAAAGAAAAAAGCGACAAGCAGAAATACACTATTCCATTATGGGTAAATTTTGTTTTGATAAAGTCTCACAGGTTATACAGTAATGTTTACTGATGACGTTTCGAGCACAATTTATTGCTCATAATCATATCAAGGTAATCACACGACTTCCTAAATTCATTTATATAGTTCCATTGTTTTTCTTTTGATTTCCACTTGATTTGATTGGTAATAGTATTTCCCATATTTCGGGTATGAGTGATGAATCACTCCTATTGCATGTGTTGAACAAGGATTCAGTAATCAACCTCTCTCTCCACCTACCTAGATTACTTTTTAGAATTTTAACCCTCTCCTACCCTATTGTGTGGTTGTGTGTTAATGCATGCAGTCCAATGTAGCGCTGAGCTTTTTTCTAAATTACTTATCTTCTCGGGTGGGGTCAACCATTCTTACCTTAGCTAAATTCTTATGTTCCGACAATCTGATTACCCCCGATCTACTAGTTGACCTCACAGTCATTGCAGGATATTTTGTCTAATTGGGTCAACTGGGTCCTTTAACCTACACAGCTTGTCCGTGAGTGAGTCTGTAGGTTTCAATGCCACCCTAATTCCTGCTTTATTTAGAATCCTACGTAGGGTCTCAGATGTCCCCTCCTTATATGGTCTTTTCTTGTGCTATTTATTGCTAAGTAGCACAAGTGAAAAATATTGGAACTATATAAATGAAGTTAGGAAGTCGTCTGAGTACTTTGATATGATTATGAGCAATAAATTGTGCTCGAAACGTCATCAGTAAACATTACTGTATAACACTGTGAGACTTTATCAAAACAAATTTACCCATAATGGAATTACATTCTACCACAGTGCACAAGTTTTATTCTTATATCAAAATTATACTCTATCAAAGTGTAGGGGTGGTGTTAAAGCCAGAGAAGGCGTAAGTGAGTAAAAGAGAGAATAAAGACTTCCAGTTACTAGGGTGAGCAGAGACTGATAACTGCTTGTTTCTGAACACAAAAATCGGGTTTTAGGCGCTTGATGGAGATTGCTTTGGCAAACTTAAGGAGAATTGAACTCTTTCGCCTATTGATAACTTTGAATGGTCTTGCGACGTCCACCTCATGACCCATGTCAGGGGGATGCCTGATGATGGCACTATTGTAATCTTTTGTTCCCATGAGGCGTAGGCTTTTCGGTGTGTGTGCCCTTCCTGTTATCCCAGTGTAACTGCCACCGCAGATATACGTAAATTTGTACACACAGTTGGAGTTTACATGAGGAGCGTATCTGTCGACTTTTGACTTCACCGAAGAGTATGTTGTCCGACAGACGGGAACCAGCTTAGCTGCAGGATAGGTTCTGGTTATTGATGTACTCAGTCTTCTGTTGACTACTGCTGCAATATTTTCACCCTTAAAATTCATTTGTGGTTAAAGTAGTGATTTTATTTATTTTCTCATTTCAGTTTTCAAAGAAGCTACAGAATACGATGATCGATTTGTAAATGCCGCCTGTGTGGTTGAAAATTATATGTTTATATTTGATCTGTAGTTTCTACTATTGAATACACAGTTTCCTGACAGATAATTTCTAATTTGATGACCAATAATTATTTTAATAAAAAAATCCTTGGAATATGTTGTGTGATTATTTTTGCCTTGCACAGAGAACCTCTTTTGGATATTATTTTATTCACTTGTCAAATGCAGTGATCGGGAGTTGTTTCTAAAACATAAGAACTGTTGGACATGTTGTAGATCAAAAGTTATTCGGCAATTACCTATGTGACTTAATTGAATTTTAGGTTTTCCCGTCGACTGATTGGACCAAAGTGCTCGGTCTCACGTTGAAATGTCGGCTTCTTTTGCAGATGCTTAGCGCGGATCACAACCTATTTCTAGCCAGACCAACTTCCGGAACAGCCATCGCCGTAGCGCTACCTGGCGTCCTCCCTCTGCGAAGCAAGCTTGAACTCAGATTTATCATATTGCTGTCAGTTTCCGGTGGCGAGGATGCATACAAGACTGTCGCTCCTTCTGGAGCACTTGCCTGGACTCCGATCATGCGTTAGTGTGTGCCAAGTTCGTCTTGGGATTTGGTGGTGGGGTTCATAAAGGCGTTGTTTAAACGTTGATGTGAGCAAACTAGTAGCACCTGCTACTTCTTTGAAATATCAGAATGAGTTACAATCAATGCTCTCCAGCAACCCCCCAAGTAGTATATATGAATATTGGCTTCATGTGCAAGGTGCCGTGCAAAGGGCGAGTGTAGCCGCTTGCGGCTTGAAAGAATGCTCCGCTAAAAACCACTGGGTTTCTGCGAGTTTCTTGCAACTCCTGGATGAACGCCGGTCCATTCCGGCTGGCAGGGAATACAACAATAAGCGAAAGGTGCCCACGCGCAAGATTAGACAGTGTTTACGTGAGGACCGCGAAGCCTGGTGGTCAGAATGTGCGTGTGACATGTAGTCAGCTGCTGCATCTGGCAACAGTCGGAAGCTGTTCCAACTCATACGAGCCACCGGCACCAAGAAACAAGGTGTCAGCGAGACGGTCTGTGAGGCGGATGGCATGCCAATTACCAGCTTGAAAAGACGCCTGGAACGCTGGGCAGAGCACTTCGGGAAACAGTTTAGCTGGCCACCACCAGCTTCAGTGTCTACTGTCATTAGCCCCAGTGCTCCTTGGTCGGTTAGTACTGACCCACCCACCGAAGCGGAAGTCCGTGGGGAACTCCACGTGTTGAAACGCTATAAGGCTCCCGGCCCAGACAATTTACCCCCGGCTCTTTTTAAAGATGGTGGCGAGACTCTCACAATCGCTGTAACTGGGTTGTTTAGGAAGGTATGGGAGACAGAGAGTGTACCATCAATGTGGAACGAAGCCATTATCGTCCCCATCTTTAAAACGGGTCGATTTAATTCGTGTGACAATCATAGGGGTATCAGTCTGCTGGCAGTTTGCATCTAAAATATTGGCTGCTGTCTTGCTTCTCAGGCTGTGCGAATCGCGTGAGGGGTTGATTCGCAAAGAGCAGGCTGGGTTTCGTTCAGGTCGTGGATGCACTGATCATGTGTCTACACTTCGTCAATTGTTGGAACACCGCCACACGTATTGCAGGCCAACGATCGTTGTGTTTCTTGATATTAGGGCTACCTTCGATTCGTTGGACAGAACTGTGCTCTGGAACTGTCTGTTAGAGAGGAAGTGTACCTGAGAAATTTGTTAACATCTTGAAAGCCCTATACAGAAACACCTCGGGCAGAGTGAGGGCATACAACCAACTATCATCACTGTTTGCAACCAACAGTGGGTTTGGACAGGGTTTCCTAATCTCCCCATTTCTCTTTATTTTTGCCATCGATGACATTCTGGAGTCAGCTGTGAAGGATGTGAGCGAAGGTGGTGTAGATCTGCCACCTGGAGATAGACTTTTCGACCTCGAGTATGCAGACGATATCGTCTTACTGTGCGATAGCATGCAGGCTGCCGAAATCCCACTTAATCAGTTGGTGATCAGTGTCAGTCAGTATGGTATGTGCTTCACGCCGTCTAAGTGCAAAGTACCGTTACAAGATTGGTAGAAGTCTGTACCTGCACTCACTCTTCCAGGTGAACCGCTTGAACTTGTTGATAAGTTTGTGTATCTGGGTGGTTGTGTGAGTGCTGGCGGGGAGGGGTGACGGATGAGATTTCCAACCGTA